GAGAGGTGGATGGTCCTAGAGTCTGTCATACACAGTAATGTAACTCAGAAAGAGAAAAACAAGAATCGTATATTCACACTGGCTTTTCACAATGCTTTGTCCACTCCCTCTTCCATTTGTAAAATCTCCCAGTGGAGAAACAGGCAACCCATAAAATTCTGCATTTGCACAAACACCGAAGGTTACACATAGCACTTGGCTAACGGCCTTTCTTTTCCTATTGTAATACAAAAAGATTTTTTTTTAAAAATTTATTTTCTTCCTGCATAATTTCCATAACATTTGTTTTAGGTTAACTTCCTAATTAAGCAATTTTTATTTTAGGTCAGTGGCCGTAGGTTTGGTGAACCTTCAGCCAAGTATAGTCTTAAACAACACAGACTGCTCAAAAGCAGTGGTGCAGTGGCAATAATAATCAGATTTCTAGGAGTAAAATGCTAATGAGGCATTTTCCTTTTAAAAGTGTGACCTTTTTAACACCTAATGGAGAGCAGAGCCATGACTTTTTTTTTTTAATTTTTTATTTTTATTTTTAAAATTCACATCCATTTATTAATTTGAAGACAGTTAAACAATTAAAATCAAAGTTTTATTTTTTATTTTTTATTTTTTTTTATAGACTTTGAGAAATTCCAGTCCTGCCATCTACAGACTGGAAATCTTTTTTTTTTTTCCATTTATTTTCATTAGTTGGAGGCTAATTACTTTACATCATTGCAGCGGTTTTTGTCATACATTGAAATGAATTAGCTATGGATTTACATGTATTCCCCATCCCGGTCCCCCCTCCCACCTCCCTCTCCACCCCATCCCTCTGGGTCTTCCCAGTGCACCAGGCCCGAGCACTTGTCTCATGCACCCAACCTGGGCTGGTGATCTGTTTCACCCTAGATATACATGATATACATGTTTCGTTCTTTTTTTAGATAACCTTCAATGTGAAAATATCTTTTTCTTTCCAGGGTACCTATGTTTGAAAGTGAAAGCAAAAGTCGTTCAGTCGTGTCTGCCTCCTTGAAACCCCCATGGACCATACAGTCCATGGAATTGTCCAGGCTAGATACTGAAATGGGTAGCCTTTCCCTCCTCCAGGGGATCTTCCCGACTCAGGGATTGAACCCAAGTCTCCCACATTACAGGCAGATTTTTTACCAGCTGAGCCATACAGGAAGTCCAAGAATACTGGAGTGCATAGTCTATCCCTTCTCCAGGGTATCTTCCCAACCCAGGAATCTAACTGGCGTCGCCTGCAATTGCAGGTGGATTCTTTACCCACTGAGCTATCAGGGAAGCCCACCTATGTTTAAGTCTCCTTATGCCTCCAACACTTTCCGGGGGTGTTCCATTTGAAGCCTAGTTACTTCTAGGCTTCAAATAATATATATATATACAGCCCCCAACTAGGTGGCGCTACTGGTAAAGAATCCGCTTGCAATGCAGGAGACGCAAGAGATGCAGGTTCAATCCCTGGGTGGGGAAGGTCCCCTGGAGGAGGGCATGGCAGCCCACTCCAGTATTCTTGCCTGGAGCATCCATGGACAGAGGAGCCTGGTGGGCTACGGTCCATGGGGTCACAGAGAGTCAGACACGACTGAAGCGAATTACTACGCACACGGATTGATGACGTCATGGGACTTTCAGCCTCACGCTTCTGTATCCCTAGGGTCAGCTTATTATTATTATTTAAACTGTGGTTTAAAAAAAACAACCAAACACATAAATTTTATGCCTTTAAACTGGAATAGGGGACTTCCCTGGAACTCTGGTGGTTGAGACTTAACCCTCCAATGCAGGGAGCGTGGGTTCAATCCCTGGTTTCAAAGCTAACATCCCACAGGACTCATGACCACAAAACCAGAACATAAAACAGAAGCAGTATTGTAAAAAGTTTAATAAAGGCTTTAAAAAAAAAAACAACAAGCAAAACCTAAAGAGTAGTTCAGTCGCATTAAGTATTTTCACACTGTTGAGCAACCATCACCCCCCATCTGTCTCCAAAGCATTTTGGGCAAAAGTTAAATTCTGTACCCATTAGCTAGTCCATTCTGTCTCCTTCATCCCTCACCTCCCAATCCCACTCTGCTTATCTATTACCAGCTCTCGGTGTCCCACATATAAGGAATCATGCAATATTTCTCTTTCTATCTGGTTTGCATTATGTAGCATCCTGTCCTCAAGGTTCATTCACGCTGTAGCCTGTGTCAAGAGATTTTCCTTTTGAAGGCTGAACTGGGATTTCCCTGGTGGCTCAGGAGGTAAAGAAGTCTGCCTGCAAGGCAGGAGATGCAGGTGACCCAGGTTTGATCCCTGGGGAGGAAGATCCCTTGGGGGAGGGCACGGCAACCCATTCCAGTATCCTTGCCTGGAGAATCCCATGGACAGAGGAACCTGGCAGGCTACCGTCCAGCGGGGTGTCAAAGAGTTGAACAGGAGTGAGTGACTTAACACTTTCACTTGTTTTCAATAGTCCATAGTATGGATACACCATGCTGTTTATCCATTCAGCCACGGATGGACAGTTAGATTGTTGGCACTTTCCAGATACTGTAAATTACACCGCTGTGAACATCTGTGTACAGACAGCTACTCAGTCTCTGAATTCACTTAGTTTGGGTCTCTCTGTGGAAGGCAATTGCTGGATTCCCTGGGGCTGCTGAATTTTTAAGGAAAGGCCATAGGTGACTCACATTGCCCACACTTCTTTGGGGTTGAGCAAATACAGTGTGTTCTTTTGAAGACAGTATTTGAATCTCATACTTAGGATTTAAGCTGTGAGAGGTCTCTGCGGAGTTTAAAGATTGCATAGCTGATTTAGTTTCACAGCGTAATCTTTTTACTTTTTAAATTTATTTTAGCATTTATTTTTAAATTGAATATAGTTGACTTATATAAAGACATATTTAAATATTATATATATTTATATATGTAAAGATTTATATAAAAACTATAAAGAAAGCTGAGCATGGAAGAATTGATGCTTTTGAGCCGTGGTGTTGGAGAAGACTCTTGAGAGTCCCTTGGACTGCAAGGAGATCCAACCAGTCCCTCCTAAAAGAAATCAGTCCTGGGTGTTCATTGGAAGGACTGATGCTGAAGCTGAAGTGTCGATATTTTGGTCACCTGATGCGAAGAACTGACTCATTGGAAAAGACTCTGATGCTGGGAAAGATTGAAGGCAGGAGAAGGGGACGACAGAGGATGAGATGGCTGGATGGCATCACCGACTCAATGGAGATGAGTTTGAGTAAGCTCCTGGAGTTGGTGATGGACAGGGAGGCCTGGTGTGCTGCAGTTCATGGGGTTGCAAAGAGTCGGACAGGACTGAGTGAACTAACCTGAGTTGATTTATAATATTTTTTAGTTTCAGATGTACAGCAGTGATTCAGTTATATACACGCATTATATACATATATAACATGTATATGTTTTTCAGACTCTTTCCCTGTACAGGTTATTATAAAATATTGAGTAGAATCCCCTGTGCTGGAAGGTTTCCAGCAAAATTGAGAGGAAGGTCGAGAGACTTAGCAGATACCCCGGGCTGCACATACGCACAGCCTCCCCCATCATCACCCTTCCGGCCTGCACATACGCACAGCCTCCCCCATCATCACCCTTCCGGCCTGCACATACGCACAGCCTCCCCCATCATCAACCTTTCTCCCACCCAGAGTGGTACCTTTGTTAAACTAACAGACCTATATGACAGATCACCATCACCCCATCCTTTACATTAGGGTTCATACTTGGTGTTAATATGTTCTATGGACTTGAACATATATTCATATATATATATATGCACATTCAAATGTATATGTATATTCAAATTATACATGTATATTCAAATGTATACATACACATTCAAATGTATGTGTGCATATTCAAATGTATATGTGTATGTTCAAATGTATACATGCATATTCAGATGTATGTATCTATGTTCAAGTGTACATATGTATATTCAAATATGTGCATCTACATTCACATGTATATGTGCATATTCAAATACATGCATGTGTATTCAAATGTATGCACATATAGTCAAACATATATATTTATATTCAAATGTATATGGATATATTCAAATGTGTATATGCATATTCAAATGTATGTATCTACATTGAAATGTATATGTGTATATTCAATTATATACATACACATTCAAATGTATGTGCGCATATCCAAATGCATGTATAAATATTCAAGTGTACACATGTATGTTCAAATATGTGCATCTATTTCATATGTATATGCACACATTCAAATATATTCATGCATATTCAAATATACATGAGTATATTCAAATATATGCACATACAGGCAAACATACACATCTATATTCAAATGCATATGTGTATGTTTAAACATGCACATGCGTATTCAAATATATGCATCTATATCCAAACATGCATATATTCAAATATGTATATTCAAATGTATGCATATTCATATATGTGTGTATGTATATTCAAACATGTACACGTATAGTCAAACATATACATCTATATCCAAATGTGTACTCAAATGTATACATGTATATTCATACACACACACACACACACCCCCCCAGAGGAGGGAATGACACCTACTCGAGCACTCGTGCCTGGAGAACCCCGTGGACAGAGGAGCCCATTGGGCTATAGTCGTTGGGGCCGCAAAGAATGGGGCAAGACTGAAACAATGTAGGAGGCACACACCCGTGGTGCCATGGGTCACCGTTAAAATACCGATAATCCCATTACTAAAAATCGTACGCCGCAGCTGTTCCTCCCTTCCCCACCCAGGCGGCCGCTGACCTTTCTACCTTTCCTCGCATTATTCCTTCCGTAGAACGTCGCCAGCTCGGCATCATACAGAAGGTCGCTTTTTCAGACTCGCTTCCTCCACTCAGTGAAGAGCATTGTTGTCTCTTGCGTGTCCTTTCACGGCTTGCCGGCTCATTTCTTTTTAGTGACGACTAATGGCCTGTTGTGTGGATGTACCGCATTTTATTAGCCAGTTCACCTACTGAAGGACATCGTGGCTGCTTCCAGGTTGTGAACACAGATGCCGCAAACAACTGCAGTTTCTGTGCAGATGATAAGTTCTCGACGCCTTAGGGGAAATGCCAAGGGCTGTTACTGCTGCATCACATGGTCAACAGGATGTTTACTTTTAAGAAAGTGCCAGGGACTTCCCTGGTGGTCCAGTGGCTAAGGCTCCATGCTCCCAGCATAGGAGGCCCCAGTTTGATCCCTGGTCTTGGAACTAGATCCCACATGCCACAGCTAAGAACTTGCATGCCACAACTAAACATCTTGTGTGCTGGAATTAAAAGATCTCGTGTGGTGTGACTAAGACCTGGCTCAGCCAAATAAATAAATAAAATAAATTTGGTAGAAAACCAAAACTTACAAATTATCTGCCAGAGTGCCTGTACCATTCTGTGTTCCCACCGACAACGACTTCCTATGGTCCCACTTCCTATGGTCCCACGTCCTCACCAGTATCCTGGGACGTCAAAAAGTAATTAACAACACAAACACCCTCGAAAAGACACCGCCAAGCAGAATCGCCTTTATTACCATGCCTGAAAGACGTCCTGGACAGTCTTCAGTCAGCCCATACCCTTACAACTTCCCAAACATTTCTGTTGTTCAGTAGGCAACTCTGGTCGGACTCTTTGAGACCCCATGGACTGCAGCACGCCAGGCCTCCCTGTCCATCACCAACTCCTGGAGCTCGCTCAGACTCATGTCCATTGAGTTGGTGATGCCATCCAACCATGTTTTTACTGTATAAAAAGGCCAAAAGGTACTGACTTTTTCCCAAAGACAGAAAAGGAGTTAACATTATTACCGTCAGATGTTTGGCTTTTTGTGACTAGAAGTCATCTTTTGATGTTCCACTACATGTACCATCCCCTAAAAAGAAACATCTATATATTCTGGCTCCCCACTTACCTCTTTGAAGCAGTCTGTCAGGGCTATCTAAGTGGACATATCAGGGCTACTGTCTTTAGTAGGGTCCTTGAGTAAAATATTCAAGGCTTCCCCAGTGGCTCAGTGGTAAAGAATCTGCCTGCCAGGCAGGAGACATGGGTTCAATCCCTGGTTCGAGAAGATCCCCTGGAGGAGGAAATGGCAACACACTGCAGTATTCTTGCCTGGGAAATCCCATGGATAGAGGAACCTGGCAGGCTGCAGTCTATTTGCAGTAACATAGATGCAACTACAGATGATCATGCAGAGTGAAGTTTCAAGTCAGACAAAGACAAACGTCGCATGATATCATTTACATGTGAAATCTAAAATACGGCAGAAGTCAGCCTGCAGCAGACTCAGACTCAGAGGGCAGACTTGCAGTTTCCACGGGGGAGGGAAGAGAGAGAGCGACGGACTGGGAGTTTGAAGTCAGGGGACGCAAACTCTTTATAGTACAGTGGATGAATGACGAGATCCTTGTGTAGAGCACAGGGAACTATATCCAACCTCCTGGGATAAACCATGCATGCTTAGTCACTTCAGTCGTGTCTGACTCTTTGTGACCCTATGGACCATAGCCCACCAGGCTCTTCTGCCCGTGTGATTCTCCAGGCAAGAATATTGCAGTGGGTTGCCATTTCCTTGTCCAAACCCTAATAGAAAGAACAAAATATGAAGAAAAATGTGTATAGGTATATAACTGAGTCACTGTGCCATACAGGAGAAATGAGCAAAGCCCTGTAAATTCAACTCTAGTTCAATTTAAAGAAACTAGTACCCCGAGGAAACCAGAATTGAAAAAGACACACGTATGCCATTGTTCACTGCAGCGCCATTTACAATAGCCAGGACACGGAAGTAACCTAGATGTTCATCAACAGATGAGTGGGTAACTACGTTGTGGTGCATATACACAATGGAATATTACTCAGCTGTAAAAAGGAACACATTCGATTCAGCTCTAATGAGGTGAATGAACCTAGCGCCTGTTATATAGAATGAAGCAAGTCAGAAAGAGGAAGACAGATATTGTCTATTAATGCAGAAAGATGGAATCTAGAAAGATGGTCCTACATGCAGGGCACTAAAGGAGACAGAGACGTAAAGAACAGACTTTTGGATTCAGTGGGAGGAGGAGAGGGTGGGCTGATTTGAGAGAGTAAGAAGCATTGAAACTTATACACTACCATATGTCAAACAGATAGCCAGTGGGAGTTTGATGTATGACTCAGGGCACCCAAAGCCGGTGCTCTGTGACAGACTAGAGGGAAGGGGTGGGTAGGAGGGACGCAGGAGGGGGGTTCCGGATGGAGGGGACACATGTATACCTATGGGCGATTCATCCTGATGCATGGCAGAAACTATCACCATATTGTAATTATCCTCCAGTTAAAATGGACAGAGTTTTAAAAAGCGATTAAAATATGCCTGCAGCATCCGCAGTAAAACAGGACTTGAGGAGGCTGGGGGTACCTTCCTCCTGGTTATTGGGAGACATTTGGCTTCCTTCCTTGTTGGACGACTGTGCTCCTCACACAGACCAGGAAGATGCACCAGCAAGATTGATCCCATAAGCGAAGAGCTTGCTCATAAAAAGGCTGTTATGTCAAGATCCATTTATGAGAAAACCTCTCCAGAAAGCGGGCAGACAGGAAACCTACCTCAATAAAATAAAGCCCATAAATGACAAAGTGAAAGGAAAGTGAAAGTCATTCAATCGTGTCTGACTCTTTGTGACCCCACAGACTGTACAGTCCGTGGAATTCTCCAGGCCAGAATACTGGAGTGGGTAGCCTTTCCCTTCTCCAGGGGATCTTTTCGACACAGGGATCGAACCCAGGTCTCCTTCATCACAGACTGATTCTTGACGAGCTGAGCCACAAGGAAAGCCCAAGAATACTGGAGTGCGTAGCCTATCCCTTCTCCAAGGGATCTTCCCGACCCAGGAATTGAACCCGGGTCTCTTGCATTGCAGGCAGATTCTTTACCAACTAAGCTATCAGCTAATGTAATACTCGATGGTGAAAAGCTGACAATATTCCCTGTAAGATGAGGAACAATACAAGGGTGTCCACTCTCACCACTATTACTCAACACAGTTTTAGAAGTCCTAGTCAGAGCAGAGGAAAACAAAATCAAGTAAAAGGAATACAAACTGGAAAAGAAGGAGTGAAACTGTCTCTGTTTGCTATACATACATGACTTGCCAAGTGCTGCTAAGTGGTAAAGGACCTGCCTGTCAATGCAGGAAACATAAGAGATGTGGGTTGTGTGCCTGGGTCGGGAAGATCCCCTGGAGGAGGGAATGGCAACCCACTCCAGTATTCTTGCCTGCAGAATCCCATGGACAGAGGAGCCTGGCGGGCCACAGTCCATGGGGTTGCAAAGAGTCAGACACAGTGCAAAACAGAAGACCTAAGCACGAGCGAAGCGACTGAGCACTCACTCACAAAATATGTACATATACAGAAAATCCTAAAGACATGTGAAAACTATTAGACCTTATCACTCAGTTTAGTAAGAGTTGAAGGATACAAAATTAATATACAGAAATCTGCGGCATTGCTGTGCACAAACAGTGAACCATTAGCGACATTGAGGAAACAATCACAGTTATCATTCACATCAAAAAGAATACAACACCTAAGAATAAACCTACCTGGGGAAGCAGAGAGTCGGACATGAGTGAGCAACTGAACAACAAAGGACGCAAAAGACCTGTGATCCAAAACCTTTAAGAAGCTGATGAAAATAGCCGAAGAGGACACACACGGACGGCATGGAACACTGTGTTCTTGGACTGGAAGAATCAATCTTCTTAGAAAAGAACATGCTTTCCAGGGCCACCTACAGATGCAGTGCAATTCTTTTCCCATCGCAGATGGACTTTTCCACAGAATTGGACCAGGAGTTTGTACACAAACACAAAAGATCCTGAATAGCCGAGCCAGTCTTGAGAAACAAGAGTAAACCTGGGGAAATAGGCTCCCTGACTTCAGACCCTGCTACAAAGCTAAGGTGATTAGCATAGAAATTGCACAAACATAGACACACTCATCAATGACGCATGATAGAGAACCCAGAGATAAACCCACACACTTGAGTCAGTTAATCTATGCAAAGAAGGCAAGACTATACAATGTAGAAAAGACAAGTCTCTTTGATAAGGGCTCCTGGGAAAACCAGACAGCTACGTGTAAAAGGACCAAATTTCAACATTCTCTCACACCACATACAAAAACCAAAGTAAGGGTCCAAGCTCCTTTCAGTCTGGTTCCCACTAACCTCTGAGGCACTGGTTGCAGAATTTCAGGAGCTTTAAGAGCATAGATGAGACAAGTCTGTTTCCGCCTTATTTCATCACACTCATGACCAAGGCTTCACCACGCTGGCTGCCTAAGCATACAGGGTGGGTGGTTCTTGAGGTTGTTTTTCTTTTTCTTTCTTTTGAACTTTTTATTTTGTATTGGGGTATAGTCGGGCTTTCCTTGTGGCTCAGCTGGTAAAGAAACTGCCTGCAATGCGAGAGACCTGGGTTTGACCCCTGGGTATAGCTGATTAACAATGTTGTGATATGTTCAAGGGAACAGCAACAAGACTCAGCCACACATACACATGTGTCCATTCTCCCCCAAACTCCGCTCCCATCCAGGCTGCCACGTGACATTGAGCAGAGTTCCCTGAGCTGTCCATCAGGTCCTTGCTGGTTCTCCATGTTAAATCCAGCAGTGTGTCCACGTCCATCCCAGACTCCCTGACTGTCCCTTCCCCCATCCTTCCCCCTGGTGACCATAAGGTTATCACAGAGTACTGAGCAGAGTTCCCTGTGCTGGCCAGCAGGTCCTTGCTGGTTCTCCATGTTAAACACAGCAGCGTGTCCACGTCAATCCCAGACTCCCTGACTGTCCCTTCCCCCATCCTTCCCCCTGGTGACCATAAGGTTATCACAGAGTATTGAGCAGAGTTCCCTGAGCTGGCCAGCAGGGCCTTGCTGATTCTCCACATGAAATACAGCTGTGTGTCCATGTCCATCCCAAACTCCCTGACTGTCCCTTCCCCCATCCTTCCCCCTGGTGACCATCAGGTTATTACAGAGTTTGAGCAGAGTTCCCTGAGCTGGCCAGCAGGGCC